ACCCACAAAAACAGTGAATGAGATAAAAAAATTAAAAAATTAAGAAGTTTATTTTACTAAGTTCTACATAATTTTCTAGGTAAAGTTTTGATTTAGATTTCTTAATATGTACTGTAACACTTGTTAAGTAATCTAAGGTCAAACTCTTAAAAATATCAAAGTAATTATAAAATAAACATCTTCAGAATAGAGTTTCGAAACTTTAAAACTTAATTTCTTGTTACTTTTATATTTCCTGTTTACTTTGAATTATCTTTATAATGATTTTTTATAACCGAGCAACATGTACACCATGCTCTAATTCCCATTATATTTATCTTGTCCATTGGCAAACATCCAATCTGCTACTGTTTGGACTTTACTAAAAAGAAAAAAAAAATTCTGACTAAATGCTTTCAATTTCTGCTTACATAAGCTAACAAAAGATTTTTTCAGGGAAAGTTTCAAGGGTGTATTTAGACTTGTGGCTCTAATTATAACCAGGATCAGATTTATACATAAACTATGTGCACAATGGACCTTTTTAGGTTATAGTGCTTAACTTTTGCCTCCCACTTGTGCACACAAGTAAATCTAGGTTCTCGTACCTTTAAATTCTTTATTTGAAAGAGAAAGGCCTCTTTATATGTTATAATTTAGACAGATTTAGACGTGATGAGGCCCTAATTGTAACTAGGATCAGATTTGCACATAAGTAACAGTTAAGGCTTCACATTACCAGAGAGGTTTAGTGTTTCATACTTTAAATTTATTTGATGGAGAAAGACTTCTTACACATTATATCTATGTCATGAGTCTAACTCTAGTCCTTACCCTAAGAGACCTGTCTCTTCCTCAAATAATAAACTTAAAAAAGTGAGAGCTTAAGTTGGAGCCTGTTCAATTTATGAGCAAATCAGGGAAAACTAGAAAACTATAATTTGAGTTCAATGTTTTTATTCACATGGAAATTGTATTTAGAATTCTTGTATAAATATTTTTATATTTATGTTTTAGAGTTTGTTGTGAAAATCTTTATCAATATTATGACATTTTTAAAGATAATGTTTTATCATTTAGCATTGACAGATTTAATAAAATAAAAAGATTCACTTCTAACTAATTGATGATTGACAAAAAATACTATTTATTATTGAATTCTATTAGAGTAGATTTGATTAACATCAAATCTACTCTAATAGAATTCAATAATAACAAACTTTCTTTAATTGGAGTGTTAAATAATTTAAAAAATACTCTTAAGTATAATTTTTTATTGAGTTGGTTCCTTTATAAACAGAATTTTACTCACTTTTATTGGACTTTTAATTGTATTTTAAATGCTATTAAATTATCACTTATTTTTCTATGAATATATGAATATTTAAAAAAAATTTTAATATAAAAAATTAAAGCATAACACCTCAAATTGGATTTAAAGTTACTTTAATTTATTTATTCAGAAAAAATTCATATCAAGCTGCATATTCTAGCTTTGTTATATCAACTCTGCAGGCATTAATAGAACCTTTTTATGCTTGTCATTTGGTCAGCCAAGCTCTCAATGGGGCAGCTAGGTGGTAAAAGGCAGAATCAATGTATCTGATTCAAATCACCCTTGAAAATTTAATCCTAAGCTAGATCGATTCCAAAACCTGGACTGACAGCTAGATAGATAGCTAATATGGTAAAAAGTATCAGTCAACTAATACTTTGAGGATTCAGGTTTGCTCAAGTTTTGATGGAAGAACTAGTCAAGATATTTCAATTCCCTTTTCATCATCCAGCTGCCCTTTTTATGAGTCTAGCTAAACTCATGACAAGCAGGAAAAAAGTTCCTTTGGATGCCATAGACATTGTAAGCTGCTCTGGAAAAAAAAATTCCTGAGGTCTGGAACTTCCAGAATTTTTTGTGGAAAGATCCAGATAAATCAGGCCATATTTAGCTACCCCACTATGGGCCTAGCAAAACCATCAATGGTTTTGGAATAAAGGCTGTTTTAGTGCCCAGAGCATAGTTTATAAAAAAAAGGGAAAAAGCAGGGAGAGTTTAAAAAATTCTGCATTATAAAATTAATCCATCTAAACATAACGAAAATAAATTTTAATAATTAAAACATATGTTAAAGGAAATAAAATTTCATTTACTTATTTTTTTTTTTTATTTGTTGCAGTCATATTTATATACTATATTAAACAAAAAATATTTAACAGATTACAAACAATTTAATATTAATAACAAAGTAATTAACAATTAGATGGGTAAAACACATTTTTCAATTACGTGAACATCTTTCTGCAATAAGACAAATACAAATATTCATACAAATAAATGGACGAGCGAACAGAAATTATAATAAAATATGGGTTTTACAATGAAAATGGAAATTTTAGGATGATTGAACTAGTTTAATCTCAAGAAAAAACATTCCTGAAATTATTACTTAAATATATATTAAGGGTTTTATTTAATAAATAAAATACATTATAATAAAATATATATATATTTTTACATATATAAAACTAGTTTATAAGGATATAATTCTGTTCCTAGTAATAATGACTGAATTGAAATATAAAATTAACAAATTACCTTTTGTTAAGTCAATTTACACTTTAATAATGCAGTAAAAGTGATAGAAGTTTTTTTGTTAATCTTAAATGAAGTAAATAAGTTATGAATATAGCTCAATCTGATGCATTTATTCCAGATATATATCTACTGTAAGCAAAAATTTATTGCTAAGCAAGCTATTTGTAATGAATTTTCTATCTTTAAAGATCACAAGGGAATCTGATGCAGAGGATGCAAAATGTGTGATTCTGCATCCTCAGCATCATTTCATTTACTGTGTTGTTTACAAGAGATAACAAATTTGAAATCATCTTCATTTGAAGCTACTTCTACATTTTCTACTTTGTCTATAGCCTGTTTCATATGAATAAGTCTCATTAAAAACTTAAATATTAATTTAAAAAAATTAAATTCATTAAGATTGAGCATAGTGCTGACATAGATATACTTTAAAAATATTTCAAACTTTTTAAAATTTATAATTCATTTAAAAATATTATTTTAACAATAAATAAAATTCAATTCTGTTCTGCTTCTGTTGCTCTTCTACATATATGTAATAAGAGGATTAACAGGAGTGACTTCATTAATCTTCACTAAGCATGAATGTTTAAATCCAGAGTTTCCAAGAAGGAGCAAAGGAGCAGACTTTACCCATTCTGCCTTCCAGGTCAATGGTAAAAAAAATCACTATCAATTTTACTGCATCATTAATATAATTTTGCTAAACATTTTTGCTTAACAATGCATCATTCTTTTCTTTCGCTCCTTTCTTGCCATAATTTACGAGATACTTTGATCCAAGTTTTATGAAATTTTATATAAAAAAATCTCCTTTATTGAAAAGAACAAAACAAAAATTTAATGTTAATGTTCTGTGCATAAATATAAATCCCATCCATTTTATCTAACTTCATTCTATACAATTTGTAAAAAGTCTCAAAAATTGTTTCAAAAATTTCAAAATGATATGTTTTAGCACAATCTGCATTTTAAATAAAATATAATCACTTTTATTTTTGAGGAACTAATTATTTTTTTCTAAAATAATATTTTTGGCAACAAATAGGAATTAATAATAATATATTTAATTTCAAATCAACAAGGAAAAAGGAAGGAAATGGCATTTTGGCACTTCAGATGAGTAATCATCCATACTTCCATCTAATCTAAATTAACAAAATTACTTTTGTTTTTAAATAATAATAATCTCTACTATTAAATAATATTAATTTTTGAGAATTAAATACAATAGAAAATCATACTATCTATTTATATACAAAACTAAAATTGATATTTTTTGGTATTTTAACACCTTAAAGCTAAGTGTTAAGCTTTCCACTAAGAGTGCTTAATCAATTTTTGCTGATATATCTTCAACATTCTCGGTAAGGAGTTCCTCAAAGAGCTCATTAGTACTAGGCATGACTCCCTCTTGCTTCAACTGATGTGCTGGAGTGGCGAGTGCAACCAAAAGTGGACGTAGGTGCAACCACCACTGATGTTTGGGAAGTCTGTAACTGAAATTAAACATAAAAAAATATTTAAAATCTAAATTGAATAATATTAATTCTTAACTAAACACATTTAAATTTTGTTTAATATTTAAAAAATGTTACATAAAAATTTTATGTAAGCATATATTAAAATACAGTGGGTGATCGGTTAACGAACAGATCGGACAACGAACACTTTCGCGATGGATTTTTATGTTCGGACAACAAACACCCCACAGAACAAACACAAGAAGAAGCGACGTAAATTAATGAATACCGATTGGTCTTCCCTTGTCTTCGGGCAACAATTAGAAACTTTTCAGAGTGTGGGAGACGTTGACAACAACGCTCAAGCCGGTATATACCGATCGGATAGTATTCCTCCGAACTTTGAAATTCTCCCTTGTAATTCCAGCCTTTTATTTTTCTGACAAAACAATTCTTTTATGTATTCGCGAGNTCGGGAGCATTATCTTGTTGAAACTTCCATTTATGAGCTCCAATTAATGCACCAAATATAATGATATTATTATATAATAATTCTTGATACTTTTCTGAGTTGATATTTTTTTCAGCAAATACTAAATCAGTTTTACCTCCCCATCAAAAACCACTCCAAATCATTATAGAGACCCACCCCATTGTTGCCCGCTTATTTTAACTCTGCTTTTCTTCTTAAATCATGCCAATAATATGAAAACCCATCAGAGCCATGTAAATTAAACTTCTTCTCATCATCCAATTGTGGAAAGAGTCTACTTTATTAATCGTAAATACTTAATTGCGTATTCCAATTTCATTGTTACAGCATTACACCGCAACTAAACAGTAAAAAATTATTTAAACTACATAAATTAAGCTTTCACGATATGAAAAAGAATTTCTATTTATTTCCAAATATTAAATTAAATTAAAAAAAAAAAAATCAGTAGTTATCAAATTTCTAAATATAATTACCTCTTTGTTCCAAGAAATGCACCCCCTTGGCCCACCCAACCAGATACATCACTCCAATTCATTTGTTGAAACTAAAGAAAAATTAATAAAAAAAGTTTAATATCTATTAAAGTAATAATACTAATAATATTTTTAAATAGGAAATATTTCAGTTTACTCACATTTCCTTCAATTAAACCTTCTATACCATCATGAATACCAAAAGCAATATTTCCCTGACATAAGCAATTTCTTACAAAAGATCTAACAGCAGCATTCATACCACAACAGGGAGCTCCTATATGCATTACTGCAAACACATGGCCACCCTATTAAAAAAGATAATAAATTTATTTTAAAATATAGTAAAATTAATATAATGATAATCAAAGTATAATTTTATTCATAAAATATTTTCAAAAAATTTTAATTTAAAAACTTTTTTAATCAATAAGTTATACTTTTCTAGATTTAATCAAAAAACAACCCAAAGTTATATTTTTAAGTTATCTCAGAATTATACTTCAATGTTTTAAAAAATAAATTAATGTAATTAGATGCTAGAAAATTATTATAAAATTTGTTTTTCAATAATAGAATTTAAAATCATTTTTGAGAGGATTAATTACATAGCATGAATAGTTAATTATGATTCCATTCAGTTATACCAGTCCAATAATAGTATATACCTATGTATGTGTATTAAATTTAGTGTATTAAATCTCAATATTCTGATACGTGTGCATTATTTTTTGATTTTATACTTGGACAATTTTATATACATGCAGATTGAGAGAAAGAAGTTAGCAAGGACACAGAGTTAAAGTGAATGTAATTGAAACAAAACTGATAGACTCCAGATATCAGTCCCTCAGTTTTGCTTGGCATTCGGCCAATTAAGAATTCAAGATAGATATGAAATGCCTATTCATCAATCAACTTGGCAAAATTTTGCATTTATGGAGTTTTATCTAGATTTATAATTATTCAAAAAATTAGATATTTTTCTAATTTTGCATCCTATTTCATCTTACAACTCTTCTAAAAAATGAAATTGATTCTTATAAGATAGTTTATTTGCTTTAAATGTATAGCAAATCTCTAGTCTTTCTCTAATTTATAACTGGTCAGCAATACCAAAGAGTGGGGATCAGCAACAATATCTAGCTATTTCAGATCACATCTGCCATAGAAGTTCTCTTCAGTTTAGTTATGTATATGTTCAGGCTGATGTTGACTGAACTGTAAACTGAAAAGTTTTAAATAAATTCTAATTTTTTACTTCCTTTAAACAAGCTGAATTTATCATTTTTAAAAGTAAAACAGAAAAAAAGAAATATTTTTCTAAATTTTTCACACTTATTTTGAATATTTTCTACAAAATTCAAATCTAAATTATATATGCATATTCCTTACATGTTCATGTGCATCTTTAGGTGGTTTGAGCCTTGTTAATAACTTGTAAGTTTGTAAGTTACGTTCAAAACTCCTAAAAAATAAAAAATATGCAATTATAAATTTCTTTCCATGAATAAATAAGCCTAAAAAAAAACCACAATATTCATTTTAAAAAAATTAATCTAATCATTACATTTAAATTATTTAACATTCAATATAATATATTTTTTACATATACATACTTCAAAACCACCAATTACAAGCAATCCTTGAATTTTATAATGAGCTAATTGGCTTGCTATTTTCTGTAAATGTGGTTCAGCTAAAGTCCTAAAAATTTAAAAAGATTTGAAAAAAAAATTATTCATTTATAATGATTACAAATTTATGCCAAATTTTTCTTTAAAAAATTTGTTTTAGATATTATCAAACATCTATACCAACAAATTATTCAAACTGTAACTAAGTTAAGTAATTAAATTATGTAATTTGGACTAAAAGTAATCAGTTATGTTGCTACCTTGTACTGAAGCTAACAATTAAAATTTAATTGAAGGCACTCTGCTTATTATGTACATGTGTTACCAATTATGCTAATTGGAATTACATCCAACATTTGTTTCCAGGGCTATATTAAGTAAAATCATATTAACTATACAGGTTAATTGCTGTTGCACCAACAAGTAAATATCTTACATATT